AAAACCAAATCAAATCATCCGGGTGTCCCCTGGGCAACGTCCTTGCAGACGGCCAATTCTCTCACACCAGAAGCGACTTGGAGTTTCTCAAGTCGCTCCTGACACGACAAAAAAAAATCCAAAAATTATGGGTGTATTAAATACAGTTGTATACAGCTGAATAAAGTTATTTATAGTTGAACTTTGTTTAGCAAATAAAGTTAGCTTCTAAACATATAAACTTTTTATTCCAGCAAGATTCCAATCATTGTTTGTTAAGAAGGGAAGAGTTTATGTGGCACTGTACTTTTTTCATCTTTCTTTAAAATTAGTATTTTAAATTGTTTTGATTCAGATGTTAGTTTTTAATCTCAACTTTGTCTATGCTTTAACTGTATGTATTTTAATGGGAACTTTTTCGGTTTTCATAAACTGTCTACAAGAAAGGCATGAAGCAGGATTAAGAGGCTGTAGGATTCCCATTCTTGGATTGACCATAAGATAATAATAGCACCAAATGACCAAACTTATTATTTATTTATTTATTTACTGCATTTCTGTGCTGCCTTTCTCAGCCCAAAGGTGACTCAAGGCGGCTTTCACAGGCATGATTTGATGGCACAGTGAACATAAACAAAATTAAAACAAAACTAAAAACAATTAACACACATTATTAAAAACCCTGTAAAAAGCATTAAAAGCATAAAACACCAGTAACTTCCTATTAGCTCATTTTCCAAACCCAAAGAGATTGTCTATATTATGGATAGATGGAACACTGAACAGTGGGAGGGTACCATTTTATCTTCCGCCTTTGACTGCAAAATGTCTTGCACTGACTCCAGTAGGGGACTCCTAAAATATCACAAGGTCATGAAGTTGCAAGCCTAAACCTTGGGGAAGTCACACACCCTCAGTCTCAATAACCGTGTGATAGGATAGTTCAGAAGTTTCAACTGGTTCAGAGATCAGCAACCAGATTACTAAATGGAGCGCCATACAAGGAGCGGACAACTCCCAAGTTACAGAAGCTCCACTGGCTGCCGGTCTGCTTCCGGGCTCAATACAAAGTGTTGGTCATTTCCTATAAAGCCCTAAACAGTTTGGGCCCAAACTATTTGACAACCCGAATCCCCATTTACAACCCCCTTTCAGATTCTGCGATAATCAGAGGAGGCCCGCCTTTCGGTCCCACACCCATCTCTGAAAAATGCAATTTAAAAACTTTTATTCTTCGTCTCTTCACCTGCCTACTCATTTTTTTGGCTGAGTAGTACCACTATAAGGGCTATGAATATAAAGGGAGAGGAGAAAGACCCCCATCTACATTGCTGGATAATGCAATTTCTGTTGGAAATAGCAACTTTCTACAAGCCGCCTATACTAGTTATTTGTTATGTATATAACTGAGACTGCTTGATGTATTCTATGTATATATTGATATGCAGTTGTCCTATTAACATTATGTTGTTATAGGTTGTGGGAGGGACTACAGACCATGTGACCCTGAATGTTCAGAGTGAGACTCCATTTTAGAATGTGTTTGAATCAGAAGTCAGTTGGAGTCAGTTAAGTCACTGGATTGTTGTAGGTTTTTCAGGCTGTATGGCCATGTTCTAAAAGCATTCTCTCCTGACGTTTCATCTGCATCTATGGCAAGCATCCTTAGAGATTGTGAGGTCTGTTGGAAACTAAGAAAACTGGGTTTATATACCTGTGGAAAGTGCAGAGTGGGAGAAAGAACTCTTGTCTGTTGGAGCTAGGTGTGAATGTTTCAATTGGCCACCTTTATTAGCATTTGATGGCCTGACAGTTTTTTTTTTGGTGCAGCTTGTTACTGCCTGGGGGAATCCTTTGTTGAGAGGTGATTAGTTGTCCCTGATTGTTTCTTGTCTGAAGTTCCTCTGTGTTTGAGTTTTTGTTCTTTATTTACTGTTATAACTTTAGAGTTTTTTTAATACTGGTAGCCAGATATTGTTCATTTTCATGGTTTCTTCCTTTCTGTTGAAATTGTCCATATGCTTGTGGATTTAAATGGCTTCTCTGTGTAGCGTGACATGGTTGTTGTTAAAGTGATCCAGCAGTTCTGTGTTCTCAAATAATATGCTGTGTCCAGGTTGGTTCATCAGGTGCTCTGCTATGGCTGACTTCTCTGGTTGAAGTAGTTTGCAGTGCCTTTCATGTTCCTTGATTCGTGTTTGGGTGCTGCGTTAGGTGCTCCCTATGTAGACTTGTCCACAGCTGCATGGTATATGGTAGACTCCTGCAGAGGTGAGAGGATCCCTCTTGCTCTTTGTTGAACGTAGCATTTGTTGTATTTTCTTAGTGGGTCTGTAGATAGTTTGTAGGTTGTGTTTCCTCATCAGCTTCCTTATCAAGTTGGCCAACTGAAACATTCACACCTAGCTTCAACAGACAAGAGTTTTTTCTCCCACTCTGGACTTTCCACAGATATATAAACCCAATTTTCCTAGTTCCCAACAGACCTTACAACCTCTGAGGATGCCTGCCATAGATGCAGATGAAACGTCAGGAGAGAATGCTTCTAAAACATGGCCATACAGCCCGAAAAACCTACAACAACCCAGTGATTCCGACCATGGAAGCCTTCGACAATACATCCATTAAGTCAGTTAGAACTCAGTTGAGGCTTGAGTCAGTTGGAATTTAGAAGTCAGTGAAGTCTGTTGATGTCATTTAGAGCTGGAGTATAGCCAGTATACTGCAGTGAGATGTTAGTTAATATATGAGTCTGTTTGCAGCAGATGTAGAGTACAGTATAGTATAGTTTTAAGTATAATTTAGTTAACATGAAACCAATAAGCAATGTACCTGTATGTTAAATACATGAAGTTTCTAAGTAAATCAACTATGTTAACTTTTAACGAAGACTCTTTTTTTGGTCTCTTGAGAGCATGATTTAAAACCAATATATTTTGTGAAAGCGTAGATGATATTTTGGGTAACTGAAATAACACTTCTGAAGATCTGCTATATATTTTATGCAGTGGCATATATTTGTTCCTAACAGTTCAGAGAGATAAAACAGATATATCAGTTTAACAGCTGAGAAACCTAAATTGTCTTGCATGATACTAGTGGATATTTACCACTAAGGAAGAGGATGACTCAAGTGAGTTTTTAACTTTTCTCAGGAAAACCATACTTTCCAAAAGGTTATGATCTCTAATAAGGTCCAAAAGGGGTCATACTTCCAAAAGCCAGTGGAGATTCCTGGTTTTCCCAATAATTTCAAACAGTGTAGATGGGTTCAAAAAAGAAAAGAAAAGAAGGGGATCTGGTGGTGTCCTGTAAATTAACAGATTCCATTTAGCATTACCTTGCATGGAAATATAATCCACTCTTTATTAATTGTACCAGGGACATCTGGCACCTGTTTTATAGCCAATGCTGCATTTTCTATGATCAGTGTGATTCCAAACATTGTTTCTTCCAGGTGTTTTGACTTCAGTTTCCACAACACCTGACTGTTAGTAAAGGCAGCTGAAGTTTCTGGAGTTGATCCGAAACACCTGGAGCACTAGAGTTTGGTCATCACTGATCTACACTGTCCAGTGAATGCGGTTTGGCCTCTTGAACTTCCATGGCTCAGTGCTACAAAATCACGGTTGCAGTTTGTAGTTTGGTGAGGCACCAAAGTAGGATCAAGACCTTGACAAACTACAAGGCATACCCCAGAGAAGCATTTCTCAACCTGGGGGTTGGGACCTGGGGGAGGGGTGGGGTCACCAAAGACCATCAGAAAACAAGTATTTTCTGTTGGTTATGGAGGTTCTGTGTGGGAAGTTTGCCCCATTCTATCCTTGGTGAGGTTCAGAATGCTCTTTGATTGTAGGTGAACTATAAATCCCAACATCTACAAATCCCAAATGTCAAGTCCATTTTCCCCAAACTCCACCAGTGTTCATATTTGGGCATATTGAGTATTCATGCCACGTTTGGTCCAGATCCATCATTGTTTGAGTCTACAGTGCTCTCTGGATGTAGGTGAGCTACAACTCCAAAACTCAAGGTCAATTCCTACCAAAATCAGTATTTTCTGTTGGTTGTGGAAGTTCTGTGTGCCAAGTTTGGTTCAATTCTATTGTTGGTGAGGTTCAGAATGTTCTTTGATTACAGGTGAACTATAAATCCCAGCAACTACAACTCCCAAATGTCAAAGTATCTCCCCCCCCCCCCCAACTCTACCAGTGTTGACATTCGGTCATATTGAGTATTCATGCCAAGTTTGGTCCAGATCCATCATTGTTAGAGTCCACAGTGCTCTCTGGATGTAGGTGAGCTACAACTCCAAAACTCAAAGTCAATTCCTACCAAACCCTTCCAGTATTTTCTGTTGGTAGTGGAAGTTCTGTGTGTCAAGTTTGATTCAATTCCATCGTTGGTGGAGTTCAGAATGCTCTTTGATTGTAGGTGAACTAGAAATCCCAGCAACTATAACTCCCAAATGACAAAATCAACCCCCCCCCCCAACCCCAACAGTATTCAAATTTGGGTGTATCAGGTATTTGTGCCAAATTTGGACCAGTGAATGAAAATACATCCTGCATATCAGATATTTACTTTACGATACATAACAGTAGCAAAATTACAGTTATGAAGTAGCAACGAAAATAATTTTATAGTTGGGGGTCATCACAACATGAGGAACTGTATTAAGGGATTGCGGCATTGGGAAGGTTGAGAACCACTGCCCTAGACCCATGAAAGCAGTTCAAGTGGGGTCAAAATGCACTTATTCTACCTTGTTGGTGCACCCTAAGGCTTGGCCCCTTCTTCATTCCTGCTCAACACTAGAATCAATGCAGTTTGACCCCATTTTAATAGCCTGGCTGGTGGATTCATTGGAGTCTGGGGGGGCAACAACACACATTGGCTGAAGATGCTACCAAACCTTGGAATACTACAACTCTCATCATTCTAGAGCACTCAATCATGGAAGTTCAAGTGATCTCAATCTGCATTAATTCTACAGTGTATGTCCCAGCCCCAGTACTCACTCACATCTCTCTTTGGACTGCTTGAAGCTGATCTCTCTGCTCGTCTGCGGGATCCTGGAGCTCTCCAAACACGCTCCCGCTTCTCCCTCTTCCAGAGTCGTTTCCCTTTTCCCAGCCGCAATGCAGCTCCGTCCATTCCCTGCCTTTCCTCCTTTAGGGCAGCTTGCCAGGCGAAGATTTGCCAGCCCGGTGCCCCTTTCCCCGAGCCTCCGCCTATCCCCACCTTTCCTCCTAACGCAGACGGACGAAATGGGCTGGAAAGAGAAAGCGGGTTGCGCCCTTGGACGCTTTGGCGGAGGAGGAAAGCGCTTCCCCTCTGTGCCCTTCCACAACTGACTACATCCAGTGATTCCCAAACTCTAGTCCTCCAGGTATTTTGGACTTCAACTCCCAGAAGCCTCGGCTGACTTAGATAACGATCAGGGACTGTGGGAGCTGAAGTCCAAAGCATCTGGAAGAGCAGAGTTGGAGAAACATGGAATTTGAATGCATTTTGACCCCACTTGAACTGGTCATGGCTCAATGTTATGGGATCTTAGCAATTGTAGTGGAGTAAGGCACCAGCATTCCTGGGCAGAGAAGACTCAAGACCTTGTAAAACTACAGCTCTCAGGATCCCACAGCCTTGAGCCTGGATCTCTAACAGGCATGAGCAAACTTCGGCCCTCTCGGTGTTTTGGACTTCAACTCCCACAATGCCTAACAACCGGTAGGCTGGGTTGCTGTGAGTTTTCCAGGCTATATGGCCATAATCCAGAGCAGGCATGGGCAAACTTCAGCCCTCCTGGTGTTTTCAACTCCCACAATTCCTAACAGCCGGTAAGCTGGCTGGGATTTTTGGGAGTTGAAGTCCAAAACACCTTGAGGACCAAAGTTTGCCCATGCCCGTTCCAGAAGCATTCTCTCCTGACATTTTACCCACATCTATGACAGGCATCCTCAGAGGTTAAGGGGTTTAACAGCCTATAGGCTGTTAGGAATTGTGGGAGCTGAAGTCCAAAACACCCAAGGGTCCTCAAACTAAGGCCCAGGGGGCGGATATGGCCCTCCAAGGTCATTTACCCAGCCCTCGCTCAGGGTCAACCTACGTCTGAAATGACTTGAAAGCACACAGCAACAACAACAACAACAACAACAATCCTATCTCATCAGCCAAAAGCAGGTCCACACTTCCCATTGAAATACTAGTAAGTTTATATTTGTTAAAATTGTTTTTCATTTTAATTATTCTATTGTTTTAAAGTGTTTTTTACATTATAAATAAGATGTGTACATGGGATTTCATTCATTTTTTTTCCAAATTATAATCCGGCCCTCCAACACTTGGAGGGACTGTGACATAGCTCTCTATTTAAAAAGTTTGAGGACCCCTGCTCTATACTGTCAAATGAATACACCTTGATACCACTTGCACTGCCATAATTTGATACTATGGAATCCTGGGAGATGTACTTTGACATAATATTTTGCCTTCTCTGCCCAAGAATGCTGGTGCCTCACCAAACTACAGCTCTCAGGACTCCACAACATTTAGCCATGGTAGTTTAAGTGGATTATTATTATTATTATTATTATTATTATTATTATTATTATTATTATTATTATTAGAAACACAACAAGATGAGTCCATAGCAGACAAGATCACTCTGCTGGCTGTTGTTGTTGTTGTTGTTGTTTGAAACACAAGATGAGTCCAGAGCAGACACTCTGCTGGCTTTTGTACTGGATCACACGTCGGACACTTCCTAAGTGTCTAGGACTGTGTGATGTATCGGCGAATAATGCGTGCAGATCCCAGTAAGGTGGCCTTTTCAGCTGGCAGATGGTAATCTTGTCAGCGCCAATTGTGTTTAAGTGCAGGCCAAGGTCTTTAGGCACTGCACCCAGTGTGCCGATCACCACTGGGACCACCTTTATTGGTTTGTGCCAGAGTCTTTGCAATTCGATCTTTAAATCCTCATATCGTGTCATCTTTTCCAGTTGTTTCTCTTCAATCCTGCTGTCATCCAGGATTGCAACATTGACAATCCATACTTTGTTTTTTAACACGATCGTGAGCTCAGGAGTATTGTGCTCCAAAACTCTGTCTGTCTGAATCCACAAGTCCCAGAGAAGCTTGACATGTTCATTCTCTGTAACTTTTTCCGGCTTGTGATCCCACCAGTTCTTTGTCGCAGGCAGATGGTATTTGTGGCACAAGTTCCAATGAATCATCTGAGCAACCGTGTTATGCCTCTGCTTGTAGTCTGTCTGCGCGATCTTCTTGCAGCAGCTGAGGATGTGATCTATTGTTTCATCTGCTTCCTTGCAGAGTGTACACTTGGGATCTGTTGTCGACTTTTCAATTCTGGCTTTGATGGCATTGGTTCTAATGGCTTGTTCTTGGGCTGCCAGAATCAGGCCCTCCGTCTCCTTTTGCAAAGTTCCATTTGTGAACCACAGCCATGTTTTTTCTTTGTCAATTTTTTGTTTGTTTGTTTGTTGTTGATGTTGTTAGAAACACAACAAGATTAGTACACAGAAAACAAGATCACTATGCTGGCTGTTATATTGGATCACACGTCGGCTACTTCCTCCTCCTCCTCCTCCTCCTCCTCCTCTTCTTCTTCTTCTTATGTTTATTATGTTTATTTTTACCTCGCCTTTTCTCTCCACAAGAAGAAAACTGTATTAATTCTGCAGTGTAGACAGCCTGGGATAGAAGCTGTTTCCTACAAATTTTGAGGATGGTCCGGGGAGTGCCTTGCTTTATTATTGTGTTGTCAAAGGCTTTCATGGCCAGAATCACTGGGCTGCTGTGAGTCATGGCCGGAATCACTAGGCTGCTGTATGGCCATGTTCCAAAAGCATTATCTCCTGTCATTTTGCCCACATCTGTGGCAGGCATCCTCAGAGGTTGTGAAGTCTGTTGGAAACGAGGCAAATGGGGTTTATATTTCTGTGGAATATCCGGGGTGAGAGAAAGAACTGTTCTCTGTTGGAGACAAGTGTGAATGTTGCAATTGATCACCTTGATTAGCATTGAATAACCTTGCAACTTCAAAGCCTGGCTGCTTCCTGTCTGGGGGAAATCTTTTGGTGGAAGGTGATTAGCTGGCCCTGATTGTTTCTTGTCTGGTATTCTCATTTTTGATTGTTGTTCTTTCTTCATTGTCCTGATTTTAGAGTTTTTAAATATTTGTAGCTAGATTTTGATCATTTTCATGGTTTCCTTCTTTCTGTTAAAAGTGTCCACTTGTCTGTGGATTTCAATGGCTTCTCTGTGTAGTCTGACATGGTGGTTGTTAGAATGGTCTGGAATTTCTGTGTTCTCAAATAACACAGATTGGTTCATCTAATGCTTTGCTATGGCTGACTTCTCTGGTTGGATTAGTTTGCAGTGCCTTTCAAGTTCCTTGATTAATGTTTGGGCGATTTGTGTTTATTATTATGATTTAGCCCAGCCACTATTTATAGTATGGCTCCTTTTTTTGGAAGCATTGATAGCCTACATTTCTTGTTATGCATTTTCAAGTGATTTATGGTGATCACATGAGAGCGGGTGAGAATAAGTGTATTACACATGAAGAAGAATTACAGTTAATGCAGTTGCACAGTACTATGGAATCATGGGAGTTATAGTTTGATGTGGCCCCTAGCTTTGTGAAACAACACCCCCTATTCCATAGCATTGACCCATGGCAATTAAAATGGTGTCCAACTGCATTAATTCTACAGTGTCGATGCACCCCAACATTCATATCCCTGCACCACAGTGGCATGCATTGGGACTCAAACTAACCTCCTCCAGATTTCTTGTTGTACTTCCTAAGGCAGAGAATGAATTTCCTGTGCTTCGAGTCAATTACTACATTTCCCAGGGCATATACTAGCACTGAAACTGGGGAGCTGCCAAGCCAAAAATGAATTGCAGGAAGCTGAAACTTCATTTCCCGAAAGGAGTTCCATTCCCTGATCTGGCAGCCCTCCCAGGGGCCTCCAAGAGTCAATTTCTCTACATTGAAGTCATGCTTGGCCTTGAAGTATGACTTTCTCTGAACTGTCATCCTATTTCTAAGCTGTAGAATTAATGCAGATTGACACTGTTTTAACTGACATAGCTCAATGCTATAGAAACCTGAAATTTGCAGTTTGGTGAGGCACCAGTACTTTTGGTCAGAGAAGGCTAAAGACTTTCTAAAACTATAAATATCATTATTCTACAGCATTCAGCCATAGCAATTAAAGGGGCTTCAAATGGCATTCATTCTATAGTGTTAATGCATAGAATAGAGGTAATAATAACTTTTAATAGTTGGATTGATCAGCATTTGTAGATGTTGGGAGCCATTCTGCCCTTTAACTGCAGCTATTTGAAGCCAATGCCATAGATTTACAACTGCACATGGGTGCTGGTTGTTGCGAAACCAAGCCTGAAATGGTTCTTTTACTTCTTGAATGGGTCCAGAGGAGGGTGACTAAAATGGTCAAGAGTCTGGAGAACAAGCCCTATGAGGAGCGGCTTAAAGAGCTGGGCATGTGTAGCCTGCAGAAGGGAAGGCTGAGAGGAGACATGATAACCATGAATAAATATGTGAGGGGAAGTCATAGGGAGGAGGGAGCAAGCTTGTTTTCTGCTGCCCTGGAGACTAGGACTTGGGAGAATGACTTCAAACTACAGGAAAGGGTATTCCACCTGAACATTAGGAAGAACTTCCTAACAGTGAGAGCTGTTCAGCAGTGGAACTCTCTGCAGTCTGACAATATTTAACTATTGTGGCTCATGGATCTGGAATTCTGGCAGTTGTACTTTGCTGAGGCACCACCACGCTTTGGCAGAAAAGGCTAAACCTTGTTAACTAAAGCTCCTATGATTCAATAACATTGAGCCATCATTAAGTTAAACTTCATGAATTCTACAATGTAGAGGCACCCTTAGTGAGCTAAATCTATGTGCAATATTGCCTTCATATCCACAGGAGATGCATTCCTAGATTTGGATATACAAAGTGGTAGATAATAACAAACTCTTTGAAAACCAAATACTTCCAGCCAAATAATATCATACAGAGTTGTTCCCGAGAACCTAGAAAATGTCTAGAGGGGGCATATTTTTGGAATCAGTGCTATAATTGTGTCATGTAGAAGTCCATCCATTCATCCATGATTATGGTCTTTCACACTTCAGATATCCAAGTTCAATTCATACAACAACCATCCGAAGCTAACAATATCCATTTTTCAACTGCTACTGGTAATCAGTGTGCTTTGACCTTTGCAGCCTTCAAGTCAGTGACGAAGTACCCAACCAACCATTTGGGAAGAAATTTCAATTCCCACACATTTTACAGACAGGGAGCTCTTAAAAGTC